CTCCTCCTCCTCCTCCTCCTCCTCCTCCTCCTCACCCTCCTCGTCCTTCTTCTGCTTTCCTCCTTCTGCTGACCCTCCTCCTCCCTCTCCTCCTCCTCCTCCTCCTCCTCCTCTCTCCCTCCTCCTCCTCCTCCTCCTCCTCCTCCTTCTCCTCGCTCAACCTCCTCTTCCATCTGGCCTCAGCCTCCTCCTCGTGCACTTTCGACCTGGGAGCGCTGGCCTAATTTGACCAAGAATCGGAGCAGGAACACCTGCATCATCACTGACTTTCGAAGCTCCGAGCAGCTTTCTGGGGCCTGCGCTGGGCCCCGGGAGAGCTCTCGGCGACGCGAGCACTCGGGCAACTCAGCGAGGCTGTCGTTGGGCGGGGCGAGTCGGGCGCCCCAGGAGAGCTCTCGGCAAAGGGGCGCAGCGGCGAGAAGGGGGGGCTCTCCTGGGCGTGGCCTGGGGGAGTCCGAGCGGCGTCCCCCGCGCGGTGGCTGCCGCCGGGGCGCCTACGCCTCCCGTCTCGCCAGCTCGAAGAGGTTTCCTGTGCGCCCCTCAGGACTCGGGGGCAGCGCCGCGGCCTTGCGGGGGGGAGTGGCGGCGTCGGCGCTGTCACCTGACACTCCTGAGACCGTTCCCAGTTCCGCCCGCGCCAGGGGGGGCGGCGGCCTGAGCCCTTGGACTGCTCATGGCAGCGCTATTCTCATCCGTTCGTGGGGGAGTGGCTGTCTGCGTCCGCGGGTGTGCGATTGAAAACACCCACGCACGCGCGCCCACTCCCGCGCGCGCACGCACGCCGCGAGCGCGCACCCACGCACACAACCCACAACACGCAACACACAACACACAACGCACAGCAGACAACGCACAACACGCAACACACAACGCGCAACACACAACGCGCAACGCACAACGCACAAACCACATCACACATCACACGACACACAACACACAGCACACATCACACATAACACAACACACAGCACAACATGCACAACACACAGCACACAACGTACATTCCACATCACCCATCATACAACGCATTACACACAACGCACAACCCACAGCGCACAACGCATAACACACAACACATCACGCACAACACAACTCACAACACAGAACATGCAACGCACAACACGCAACGCAAAATGTACAACACACAACACACAACGCACAGCACACAACGCATAGCGCACAACGCACAGCACGCAACCCACAACGCGCAGCGCACATCGCTCAACACACAATTCATAGCGCACAAGACACAACACACAGCACACAATACACAACACACAACACACAACGCACACCGCACAACTCGCAACACGGAACACACCGCACAACACATCACACGGCACACAACACACAACACACAATTCATAACGCATAACACACAGCACACAACGCACACCACACAACGCACACTACACAGCCCACAACGCACACCACACAACACACAACACACAACACACCACGCACAATGCACAACACACAACGCTCACCACACACCACACCCACACTACAACATTCAACACGCAAACCACAAAACACAACGCACAATACACAACGCACACCGCACAACACACACAGCACACAGCACGCAACACAACGCACAACGCACCACGCACAACGCACACCACACAGCACACAATTCATAGCGCACAACACACAACACACCACACAACACACAACCCACAGCACACAACGCACACCACACATTACACACTTTACAACGCACAACACACAGCACACACCACACAACAAACAACACACACCACACAACACACAACACACAACGCACAGCACAACCCACAACACATAACACGCAACACACAACGCACAGCACACAACGCACAGCACACAACACACAGCACTCAACACACAACACACAACACGCAACGCACAGCATAGTACGCACAACGCACAACACACCACACAACGCACACCACGCAACACACAACGCATAACACACAACGCACACCTTACAGTGCACAACGCACAGCGCACGGCACGCAACCCACAACCCACAACACACGGCTTACAGCACACAAGACACAACACACAACACGCAACACACGTCACACAACACAGCACACAAATCACAACACACAACACACACCGCCCCACGCACAACACAACACACACAACACGCAACACGCATCGCACAATACGCAATTCACAACACACACCACACAACACACAACCCACACCACAACACACATCACATAACGCACAACACACAACACACAGAGCACACACTGCACACCACACAACACACAACACACAACACACAACGCACACCACACAACACACACCACACAACACACACCACGCAACACACAACACACAACTCGCAACACACAGCTCACAACACACAACACACAACACGCAACACACAACGCACAACACGCAACACACAACACACACCACACAGCACACACAGACACAACACAAAACACAGACAACACACAGCACACACTACACAGCGACACAACACACAACACACAGCACACAACACACAACACATAACACACATCACACACAGACGCACACACGGATAAACGTTGAGCCCCACGGGAGTAGGGGAAATGTGGGAAGGGCAGGGAAGGGGCGAACCCACGACATGTGAACAATATCGGGAATCCTGGAATCTGTGCCGATCCTTTTGTGTCCCCCTGGGCCCGTTTAGTGTGCTGCCCCCAAAGTGCTGCCCCGCCCCGCCAGGTCAGCGACCTCCTGGAGCGGGACATCACGCCCGAGGACTACGACATGCTGGCCCCCGCGCGCCGCGGCCGCGCCTGCTGCCCGGGCCGTTGGCCCCGTCCGCTCTCCTCCCTCGCTCCTCCCTCCTCCTCCCTCCTCCTCCTCATTCTCCTCCTCCTCCCCCTCTCTCTCTCCTCCTCCTCCCTCTCTCCTCCTCTCTTCTCCTCCTCCTCCTCCTCCTCCTCCTCCTCCCTCTCTCCTCCTCTCTCTCCTCCTCCTCCTCCCCAACATCCTTCTCTTCTTCATACATCGTTCCTCCCTGTTGCGCCCCCAGGCGTCTCGCCAGGGCGGGCTGGGCGTTTCGCCCGAGACTGCCCCATCGATGATATGCTTGAAACCTGAACGATGCAGCTGCTTCACGGACGGAGGGTGTGGTTTTCGAACCGTGGTTGTCGCCTTAGCGCCGCGCACACTGGTCGTGAAAGTATGTAACAGGTCCACGGATGGAGGTCGGGCGGTTTCCAACATGTGGCTCTCGCCGTGGCGCCGCGCATTATTGGCCTTGAAAGTTTGCAGCGTGTTCACAGATGGAGGGCGGGTGCGGTTTTCGAAATGTGGCTCTCGTCTTAGCGCCGCGCACACTGGCCTGGAAGCTTTGCAGCAGTTTCGAGGGTTCGTACGGATGGAGTTCCAGGAAGTATGGTCTGGCACGGTTGCAGGACTGTCAGGACGCAACGGTCACGTTGATTCGCGGTGTGGAAGTCGCAGGAATTGTGGTTTGGTACGATTTTGCATTAGGTCGCTTCAAGCATGGTGATTCACGGCGTTGAAGTCCCAGGCGTTGTGTTGTGGCGCGATTGAGGGCTCTCAGACGGTTCTCTTCCAATGAGGCGCTTGCCGCACTGGGAATATATGCTCTCAGGGACCTGTGAAGAGGAGGCTTGGAGGGAGGGTTTATTGCAACATCGTTGATGCGTCTTGGGTTTGTACTGGCAATCCTGCTCCTCCTCCTGGCCCGTGTTCGCCGCCCCCCCCCTCCCCCCCGTCGCGCCCGCGAGCTCAAGCTGGACGAGGGCATCCAGAGACCCACGGCGAGCAAGGACAGGGGGGGAGTCCAGCGGCGGCTTGGGGCGGCGCTGCCGTCTGGCTTGGCCAGGGACGGCGCGCACGCCGACCCGCCCCCCTCCCTCGTCCTCGTCGTCCTCCTCCTCCACCTCCTCCTCCTTCTCCTCCTCCTCCTCCTCCTCCTCCACCTCCTTGTCCTCCGCCACCTCCGCCCTCCTACACCTCCTCCTCCTCCTCCTCCTCCTCGCCCTCCACCTCCTCCTCTTCCAATTCCTTTTCCATGCGTGACTTGGCTTGCGACGTTTTTTTTGTTGGTGCCATTGCGACGGTCCCGGGACGGTGCAGACAACAGCTCGGGAGGAAAACGGGTCCCAGGGAAGGGCTCCGGACCTCTGGCCTCGGCCTCCCAGATGGGGCCCGAGCAGGCGGGGTCGGAGGATCGCGCCGCATCGCCGATGCATCGCCCACGCGGCTCGATGTGGAGCCCGATCTGCTTCACGCCCACGTCGCCGCTGCATCGCCGACGCAGCGCCGGTGCATCGCGGATGCATCGCCGGTGCATCGGCGATGCGTCGGCCATGCATCGGCGATGCTTCGACGCCAGGCGGGAGGCCGAGGCTGCCACGCCCCCCGACCGCCTTGCACGCCGCATGCCGCGCTGAATGCACGGGCGCTTTCAGGTGCAGCCCTGCGCACGCGGACCCCCTCCGGAAGGCCTCCAGGGGCTCAAGGCCTCGGGGGTCGACGCCGTGAAAAGGCCACGACGTCGGAGATCCTCAAGCAGTGGCGAAGCGTCCTGGCTCGCCTACAGCCCTACCGAAGAATGTTCTCAGAGCCTTTCGTGGTTTCCACGAACTGTTCTTAGAGCATTCTGGCTCGGACTGTCTTGTTTTAACACGTCGGGTTTATGTTCCAAGAACATTGTTTTTGTTATTAGAGCATTTTGGGGTTCTAAGAGAATTTCGTGGTAGGACTATAGGAATGCCGGGACGGTCGGTCCTTGCTCAAGTTCCTGCACCCATTACCCATCGCTCGCTGAAAGTGGGTATTTTTGGATTCCCAGATTCCAATCTACTCTAAGCGTCTTCCTACTTCAACGATCGAGTGGCTTCACCTTCTCCGTCCTACTAGGGGGCGGATGGAACCCAATCCACTTTCAACCCCGTGCTACTTCATGTTTCTACCTACTTCTTCCGACCGATGTGTACGCCCGATCCGGATTCGTGGGCTCAGGTGTCGAAGAAGAGCAAGTGCCGCAAACAGACACTTTTGGCGCTCCGCGCGGATTTCTTGGATCCGCGCCGGACCCTCCAGGCTGCGCCTCCGGCGCCGCCCCTGGTGCGCTCCGCGCGCCAGGGAGGGGGGTCCAGCGCAGGTCCAAGAAATCCGCACGGAGCGCCAAAAGTTTATGCTTACGCCGTTTTTTCCTCTTCTCAGGTGGTCGTGTCGGTTGGCGCTTCTGTTTTTGCTCCTCCCCGCAGCTACTGCTTCTCCGCTCGTGCCGCCCCGTGGTCGCAAGATCGGCGCACGGCGTGGCGATCGCATCGCAGGTTGCGGTCCGCTGCGGTGGTGCTCGCGGGCACGCTGCCGGTGCTCGCGGCCGTAACGTGGCGCCCCCGAGCCGTCGTGGTGTTGGCAGGACTTTTTTTTTTTTGCACGCGCGGGGCTCTTGCAGGCAACTGCGCTGCCTGCGAAGGTCCGGTTTCCCAACCATCCTGCGGTGTTGGGTCCTCGTTTTGAAGAGACAGCGCCCCGCGTTCCTCCCGCTGCCCCCTCCCTCCTCCCTCCTCCCCCTCCTTGCCTCTGCTCTCGGCACACCTCTCACACGCTTCGTAGCCCCATCGGGAGCTTCACCGACGGCCCCACTGGGGGGGGTCGCATGCGGTTCCCCCACGCAGGGCAGCGTTTCGTGTCCCCATAGGGAGCTCCGCCGATGGCCCCAGTGGGGGGGGTCGCATGCGGTTCCCTCACCCAGGGCAGCGTTTCGTGGCCCCATAAGGAGCTCCGCCGATGGCCCCAGTGGGGGGGGTCGCATGCGGTTCCCCCAGCCAGGGCAGCGTTTCGTGTCACCACAGGGAGCTCCGCCGATGGCCCCAGTGGGGGGGGTCGCATGCGGTTCCCCCACCCAGGGCAGCGTTTCGTGGCCCCATAGGGAGCTCCGCCGACGGCCCCAGTGTGGGGGGGTCGCATGCGGTTCACCCACCCAGGGCAGCGTTTCGTGTCCCCATAGGGAGCTCCGCCGATGGCCTCAGTGGTGGGGATCGCATGCAGTTCCCCCACCCAGGGCAGCGCTTCGTGGCCCCATAGGGAGCTCCGCCGATGGCCCCAGTGGGGGGGTCGCATGCGGTTCCCCCACCCAGGGCAGCGTTTCGTGTCCCCATAGGGAGCTCTGCCGATGACCCCAGTGGTGGGGATCACATGCGGTTCCCCAGCCAGGGCAGCGTTTCGTGTCCCCATAGGGATTTCCGCCGATGGCCCCAATGCGGGGGTCGCATGCGGTTCCCCCACCCAGGGCAGCGTTTCGTGTCTCCATAAGGAGCTCCGCCGATGGCCCCAGTGGGGGGGTCGCATGCGGTTCCCCCAGCCAGGGCAGCGTTTCGTGTCACCACAGGGAGCTCCGCCGATGGCCCCAGTGGGGGGGATCGCATGCGGTTCCCCCACCCAGGGCAGCGTTTCGTGTCCCCATAGGGAGCTCCGCCGATGGCCCCAGTGGGGGCGATCGCATGCGGTTCCCCCAGCCAGGGCAGCGTTTCGTGTCACCACAGGGAGCTCCGCCGATGGCCCCAGTGGGGGGGATCGCATGCTCTTCCCCGCCCAGGGCAGCGTTTCGTGGCCCCATAGGGAGCTCCGCCGATGGCCCCAATGGGGGGGTCGCATGCGGTTCCCCCACCCAGGGCAGCGTTTCGTGGCCCCATAGGGATCTCCACCGAAGGCCCCAGTGGGGGTGCCCGCATGCGGTTCCCCCACCCACGGCAGCGCTTCGTGGCTCCATAGGCAGCTCCACCGTAGGCCCCAGTGGCTGCTCTCGCATGCGGTTCCCCACCCAGGGCAGCGTTTCGTGGCCCCATAAGGGGGCTCCACCGTAGGCCCCAGTGGGGGTGCCCGCACGCGGTTCCCCCACCCAGGGCAGCGTTTCGTGGCCCCATGGGGAGCTCCACCGTAGGCCCCAGTGGGGGTGCCCGCATGCGGTTCCCCCACCCAGGGCAGTGTTTCGTGGCCCCATAGGGAGTTCCACCGAAGGCCCCAGTGGGGGTGCCCGCATGCTCTCCCCCACCCAGGGCAGCACTTCGTGGCTCCATGGGGAGCTCCACCGAAGGCCCCAGTGGGGGTGTTCGCATGCGGTCCCCACACCCAGGGCAGCGTTTCGTGGCCCTATAGGGAACCCCACCGAATGCGTTGCTCACAAAGACGGTGCTCACAACTGCATATGCTTGGCTCCTTCGCCAGGCTATTTTTTTTGCACGCGCGGGGCTCTTGCAGGCAACTGCGCTGCCTGCGAAGGTCCGGCTTCCCTTACGATTCGGGGCGCTCCAGACAGGGCCTTGCCTTGGAGGGTTGAAGGAGTGGACATCTCTTCCTTGGCCGAAGTAGAACGAGCGCGGCTCCGCCGGCCGAAGCGAGCGGCAGTCAAAGATCCGGCCCCAAGAAGTAGCATCGTTCTTGAGCCAAGGCTTTCTGGAACACCCTGCTTTCGCTCGCGGATTGCGGTGTTCTCAGGAGCGTCTTGGTGCGATTTTCGGAACCTCGCAAAGGGGGGGGGGATGCCACAAGGGGGGGGGGTGAGTTTGGTCCGTTGGCGCATCGAGCCGCAGAAAAACGATGCAAAACGAGGTCTCCGGCCGCCGCCGGAACCCGAGAGGTGTGGACAACCGGGGCGCGCGGGGGGGCATCGTTCTTCGGGAATTCGATGCACCAGCGCAGCGACCCCCCCCCCCCCTCAGGGTCCCCCCCCGCGGGTGGACCCCGAGGTCTGCCCTCCACGACCATCCAGTGGGGCGGGTTCGGGGCTTCGGGTCGGGCTGGGGTGGTCCGGCAGGCGCCGGCACGGTGTGGCTCGCTTCTGCGTGCGCGGGGTGCTCGCGGGCACCCGTGGCAGGCAGAGGGTCAGGCCGGCTCCTGCCGCCTCGAAGGCGCAAGTGCGTCGTGGTGCGCTCAGTTCACCGAGAGGAAAAGAGCTCCTGCCCTTAAGTCGGGCCTGGTCCTCTACAGGGGGAATATCCAAAAGTGGTCAAAAATTATCCCAGTGCGACCCTACCTAGGAGTTGGAGCCTCTAGGAAGGCAACGTTAGCAGGAGCGGTAAGCGCCGTCCTCCTTCTTCTCATCGTCGTAGTTGTAGCAGTAGCGGCAGTAGTAGTAGTAGTAGTAGTAGTAGTAGTAGTAGTAGTAGTAGTAGTAGTAGTGGTAGTAGTAGTAGTAGTAGTAGTAGTAGTAGTAGTAGTAGTAGTAGTAGAAGAAGAAGAAGAAGAAGAAGAAGAAGAAGAAAACGAATAATAATAATAATAAGAAGAAGCAGAATAATAAGATGAATAAGACGAAAAAGAAGAATAAGAATAATAATAATAATAATAATAATACTAATAATAATAAGAAGAAGAAGAAGACGAAGAAGAAGAAGAATAATAATAATAAGAATAATAAGAAGAATAATAAGAAGAAAAAGAAGAAGAAGAATAAGAAGAATAATAAGAAGAATAATAAGAATAATAATAAGAAGAATAAGAATAATAAGAAGAATAATAAGAATAATAAGAAAACTAATAATAATAAGAAGAAGACGAAGAATAAGAATAAGAATAATAATAAGAAGAATAAGAAGAATAATAAGAAGAATAATAAGAAGAATAATAATAATAAGAAGAAGAAGACATAGTAGTAGTAGTAGTAGTAGTAGTAGTAGTAGTAGTAGTAGTACTAGTACGTAGTAGTAGTAGTAGTAGTAGTAGTAGTAGTAGTAGTAGTAGTAGTAGCGCCAGAACCGCCGACGCCACGCCGTAAGTGAAGCAGCAGCAGAAGCAGGCAGCAAGTCGCCGAGACAGCAGCAAAAGCAAGCAGGCACGGAGATGAGGGCGGGGCACTGGGGAGTTTTTTACATCTACATCTATATCTACACCTACATCTACATCGACACCTACATCTACATCTAGACCTACGTCTGCATCTACACCTACAGCTACATCTACATCTACACCTGCATCTACATCTACATCTACATCAACAGCGAGACTCACATCTACATCTACATCTACACCTACATCTACACCTACATCTACATCTACATCTACATCTACATCTACATCTACATCTACATCTACATCTACATCTACATCTACATCTACATATACACCTACATCCACATCTACACCTATACCTACATCTACATCTACACTTTCGCATTGGTTTTGCTTTTGCTTTGCATTGCCTTTGATTTTGCTCTTGCCTTTGCTTTTGCCTTTGCAGCAGCAACAGTGGATGCTGTGCTGCGCTCTGCTCTGCTCTGCTCTGCTCTGCTATGCTATGCTATGCTGCGCAATTCTATGCTGGGCTAGGCTCGGCTATGCTATGCTATGCTATGCTATGCTATGCTATGCTGCGCTATGCTATGCTGCGCTATGCTATGCTATGCTGTGCTGTGCTATGCTATGCTTCTGCTTTGCCTTCGCTTTTGCCTTCACTTTTGCCTTTGCTTTTGCTTCGGCTTGGCACCCAGGGAGCGCAACTGGGGGAACCGCGCGTTTGCTTTTACCTTTGCTGTTGCTTTTGCTTGGCTTCCAGGGGACTGGGGGAACCGCCCGGGGCGGTTTGCACTGCCCGGCCCCTTTAAGCCAAGCGAGGAAGAACCCTTCTAGGCAGAGCCTAGGTAGGGAAATCGTATGTGGACATTTTTTTTTCTTTTTCATTTTGGAGTGTTTTGGGGGTATTTCTAATTTTTCGTCCATAATCCCCCTGTAGGGGGACAGGCTCGACTTAACCCTAACCCTCTAACAACACATTGGGTGCGTAGGCCTCACTGAGGTCCCCGTCTTCGCATTGTGGATCATACATTTGGGCGCTTTGGTCCGCTACATCAGCAGGAAAGCCCCCCCATCTCCTTTGTTGTTGGGCGGCCGCTTAACTCAGGTCTCCTCCCACAGGGTTGGGGATCCTCTTTTGGTTCATCATGTCCGAGGCGGGGATTTGTACATGAACTCCACCGCCTGGAGGATCAATTGTCGGGGACCTTGGCAGGCGGTGGATATGGACATATTCGGGCCCCGGGGGCCAACATGTATCCATATCCACCGCCCGCTGGGGCACCAGGACGTCGTTTGCCAGGCGGTGGATATGGATACATCCCCGCCTCGCATCTTACGCACACTGCCCGTGCTCGCAGGCACAGTGTGGCGTTTGCAGGCATTTGCGGAATTTGTAGGGGCCAGCATTTTACCGTGGAACCCTTGCCAAGAAACACCCTGCTTGCCTCCAGGGTGCCCCAGGTTTCTTGGGTTTCGGTGGTTTTGCTGTGGAGAGCTTGACGTCCCCACACCAAAAATCAATGGACGTCCTGGGGTCTCAGGGTTGGGTTTCTTGTGGAAGGTTCCTTGTGGTCGAGCTCCTACTGCATTATGCTTGCGTGCGCGTGGCGTTCGGACGCTATTATGGTAATGGCAGGGTCGCGCTTCCCGCGCAGTCTGGCGGTCGCGAGTGCAGTGTGGTGCTCTCGGGCACGCTGTGGCGGTCGTAGACTGATGTGGTGGAGCACAGGCGTATGGGCTGGTGCTCGCAAGCGTAGCGCGGCACCGGCAGGGTCTGGTATGCTGTGGTGCACACCGTGGTGCCCGCAAGTCGCTATGATCACTGGCAGGGTTCGGCCTTCCTTGCTGGTGGTCGGTGACGTTCGCGAATCGCATCTGTTGGTAGAAGAGCATACTGCCATTCTTGATGCCATGCGCAAAACTCGTCTTACAGGGAGTTCTTCCCGACCCTCTGGGGAGAATGCTGCTGCCCCCCTTCAGCCCAATTGAAATATGGCGTGCGTCGTCCTCCTCCTCCTCCTCCTCCTCGTCTTCCTCCTCCTCCTCCTCCGCCTCCCTCCTTCTCCTCCTCCTCCTCCTCCTCCTCCTCCTTGGCCATCGACCTCCCAGAATCCATGGGAGTTTAGGGCCCCTTTGCGCCCCCCTTTTCTTACCCCCCAGTTAGGTCACCCCCCTTTGCCACCCGCCCGACCTTCCCCCTTCCGGACCAGGCTAGGACGAGGACCAATCCGTTCCAGAGCGTTTCGGAGCGCTCTCAGAGCGTGGAGGTGGAGGAGGAGGAGGAGGAGGAGGAGGAGGAGGAGGAGGAGGAGGAGGAGGAGGAGGAGGAGGAGCTCTGAGAAGACCGCGGCGCCCGAGACATCCTCCAGGGGCCGCCAGATCTCAGATATTCTCGATCTAGCCTCGCCTGATCAGATCCTCGTCCTGGCTTCGTCGTGCCCTCTCTCTCCCTTGCCCTCCGCCCGCGCCCGTGTGGGCCCCGTTTTCTTCACCCCTCATTTGCGCCATCCCCATTACCACCCGCCCGACCTCCCCCTCATCCCATTACTCAGGAGGAGAAAAAACACACAGACACAATTAATCGTCGACTCCCAGGAAAAAGTGCGAAAATATGGGAAGTGGGGGGGAAGACAGAAACCCCGAAAATATTGAAGAACATGGGGAATCCTGTTATTTGTGTCTATTTCTTTGTGTGTCCCAGGGCCCCTTCAACTACCACCCGCCCGACCTCCCCCTCATCCCAGACCCCCGACGTCGTGCTTTTTTCACAACGTCGACCCCAGAGGTCTGGACCCGAGCCGTCTCTCGTCGCTCCTGGGGGTCCCGGCGGCGGGCCCCCGGAGGCCGAACATCATGGCGAACAGTTTCCCGTCGTTTTTTTTTTTTTTTTTTTTTTTTTTTTTTTTTTTTTTTTTTTTTTTTTTTTTTTTTCCACAGCGCGAGGGGGTTTGGGTCCCTGTTTCCCTCCGTCCGCGCCCGCGCGCCATGACCCCCAACCCCCAGGGGGAGAAAGACCATCTTTGAGGCATCGGGAGGAGCTGTTTTCGACTCGGCCAGTCGGCCAGTCGGCCAGTCGGCCAGATGGCCAGTGAGAGTCGTCCGGAGACGGGAGGGGAGTCGGATAGTTGATCCCGGTGCCCCAGAGTTTTTCCGAATGCCTCCTCCTCCTCCTCCTCCTCCTTCCCCTCCCTTCTCCCCCTCCTCCTCCCCCCCCCTCCTCCTCCCTCTCCCCCTCTCCCTTCTCCCCTTCCCCCTCCATCTCCTCCTCCTCCTCCTCCTCCTCCTCCTCCTCCTCCTCCTCCTCCTCCTCCCGGTGCCCCAGAACCTTGCCGAATGCCCAGGGAGGGCGGGGAGGGCAGGACAGCGTCGACGGGCTGCCGACCGCCCCGGGGACGCGCCTCGTGGGGGAGAGCTGCAGCATCTGCCTGCTCCCCTTCGAGCAGCGCGACACCGCCAAGGCCCTCCCCTGCCCCTTCCCCCCTCCATCCCCCTTCCCCTCCCTCTTCCTCCCATCCTCTTCCTCCCCCCTCCCTGCCCTCCCTCCCCTCCCCCCCACCCTCCCTCCTCCCCTGCTTCGCTCCCCTTCCGCCCTCCCCTCCCTCCTCCCCTTCCTCCCTCCCTTCCCTTCCTCCCTCCCCTCCCTCAACAATTACACAGTCTGAATACTACTCTCCTCTCTCCCCTGGTGACGTCTGGGGACTGTTCGGCCCCCCTCCGCGTATTGGTTTCTTACA